AGAAAATCAAAGGAACAAATCTGCCCAAGAGTCTCTACTTTCTCTAATACCAAGAAGTCAGTCTAGGGTTTATGGAGAGAAGAAAAGAAGAAGAGGAGGAAGAGGAGAGAGACTGTTGAATGAGAGGTGTGTTACTGTTCACACGCTCAAATCTGATATTTATATTTTGAGGAAAAATTACAAGAAAGCTCTCACTTGGGCACCCATATACAAACAAATAACAAAAAGACCAATGACACCTTGCCCAAGCATTCCCTTTATCAGACCAAGCAACTTCTATACCAAGGAAATAGGCCAACATCCTTCACCTCAAATTGTGAAGCTAGAAATTCTTTCAACTTCTAAATCTCTTTTTCCCTATTTCTTGTAATCACAATGTCATCTGCATACACAATTAGAATAGCAATGAGACTTCCCCCTTCATCTTACAAATAATGTGTGGTCAGCTTGACACTGCATAAATCCAACTTGTTGAACTACCTTATTGAACCTTTCAAACCAGGCTTTGGGGGATTGTTTCAACCCATATAATGGTTTCTTCAAATGACAAACTTTCTCCTCACTTCCTTGAAGCTGAAACCTAGGGGGCTGAACCATATATACCTCCCCTTGAGGTGAGGCAGAGAAGAAAGGACGAGACTCAAAAATGGAAGCATGAAGCATCCATAGAAATGTAGAAGAGAATAGAAGATGATGATAATATATGATTCAAAACTTATATTACATTTATTGATTAAATTAAGTAATTTAATCTATAGATTATGATAATATGTTAATATATAGTTCAAAACTTACCATTATGATTTAAATTTTTTAAATATTACCTTTTGTATTACTTATCAACATATCCAAGTATTAAATTGAAGAAAAGTTATTAATTCACTTAAGTGGCTCAACAGTCAAGTGAGAACATGGACTTTGTAATCATGAGTACTTGGGTTCAAATCTTCAAAGTATTATGGGACTTATTTTAAGGCATGTTCAGTTCCACCAAGGCTGGTTCTCTGGGTAAGTTCGGGTAGGGTGAACCTCTAAACCTTAGAACCAGCTTGGGTGGGGGTCGGTTCCAAGAATTCGGAACTAGACCCTACTTGGTACCATATTGGATATGGTTGGTTCGAGATCGACTCCGGCCTTCTGGGTAAAACCTACCTATTTTCTCACCCCTACATATCTAAAAGAGGGCATGGGACAAATTGAAGGTTTATAGCATATAACTCTCTATATCCACAACTTAATTCGCTATCATGAAATGATTTCTGTGGTCAGACAGGCGGTGTTTTCAATGGATAGATCCAAAGCACCTGGTCCAGATGGCTTTACAATGGCTTTCTATCAGGATTGTTGGGATGTGGTCAAAGAAGACCTTGTCGGGGTGTTTCAAGAATTTGCAGATAAAAAAACGGTGAGCCCTGGAGTCAATGCTACTTTCCTAGCCCTAATCCCAAAGAAGGCAGATGCAAAGAACCCTAAGGACTATAGGCCAATCAATCTAGTGACAAGCATCTATAAAATCCTGGCTAAAGTGTTGTCATTGAGAATCCGAGTAGTACTACCCTCCATCATCAGTCAAGAACAAGGTGCTTTCGTGCAGGGAAGGCAAATAACGTATCAGATCCTAACAACAAATGAGTGCGTGGAGGACATGAGAAAGTCAAGAACCCAAGGTTTCGTTTGTAAATTAGATTTGGAGAAGGCTTATGATCTTGTGGATTGGAGTTTTTCACTAGAGGACCTAGGGTGCCGTGGGTTTGGAGCTAGGTGGTGCAATTGGGTAAAGGGTTGTATTAGTTCCTACCATTACTCCGTTTTGGTTAATGGGGTGGTGAAAGACTTTTTCCCAGCTTGTAGAGGCCTTAGACAAGGTGATTTAGATTTGGAGAAGGCTTATGATCTTGTGGATTGGAGTTTTTYACTAGAGGACCTAGGGTGCCGTGGGTTTGGAGCTAGGTGGTGCAATTGGGTAAAGGGTTGTATTAGTTCCTACCATTACTCCGTTTTGGTTAATGGGGTGGTGAAAGACTTTTTCCCAGCTTGTATAGGCCTTAGACAAGGTGACCCTCTCTCCCCTTTTCTTTTTACCCTAGTTGTAGATGTCTTCAGCAGATTAATCTCTAAAGTAGATAGGGAAGAGGAAGTTAGAGGCTGGAGGATTGGAAGGAACAATGTTCGGGTAACCCACCCGTAGTTTGCTGATGATATCATAATTTTTTGTGAAGGGGGTGACAGGCGGGAAGTGAGAAATCTCAAAGCATTGTTACAACACTTTGAGAATGTCTCCATTTTGAAGATAAACCTGGATAAGAGTTGTGTGGTAGGGGTTAATCTGAATGAGAGGATTTTGCAGTCTGTGGTGGATTGTTTAGGTTGTCCCATTTCTTCTTGGCCCTTGCAGTATCTAGGTCTCCCTCTAGGGGCTAACCCAAAGGAGAGTAGATTTTGGACCCCAATTCTGGAAAAGTTTGAGAGAAGATTAACTTCTTGGAAAAAGAACTACATTTCCATAGGGGGTCGAGTGACTTTATTGAGAGCTACCCTAGCAAATT